CTTTTACCAACGAAAAGTGGGATTGACCGTCCCCTTATAACTCCCCACGGCTGAAAGGACGACCATTTTGGTGTGACGGGGATTCGAACCCGCGACCCTCAGACAACCAGGATATACTTACCACAAAAGTGAATCATACACTCACTCACATCTTTAAAGAAAACCTAGTTAAAACATTGTCATACACAACGTTTAACATACTAGGAGCTGAGAACATTAAACAAACGCTTATAAGAAATTGTTTTCCGTTGCTGCTCCTAAATAGAATAAGTCAAACAAAAACTGAAAACTAAATATCAAATCTGTTGTTATGTTAAATGCACCGAAAAAACTGTTACTTTAGTCGTACCCTACTTAGACATTATTTCATAGTTGATTAAGAAGATTATCAGACAGTTATATCCACAAACTCAGTTAAAACGTGTCCTCAGAACCAAGTATGGGTTTAAAGAACTCTTCAATTTTAAATACAAAAAACATCCAATGAATATCTTACTAGTGGTATGTTAATTCACGTGCCTGAGATGCAACCAGAGATGAATTGGGTCAACCACTAGAAGACTCTTCAATCGAATAAAATAACACCGTTACGCTAAAACCTATAATACCAACATAATTATCGACTAATATCTAAATGAATTTGATGTCGTGCCCATCTCTAGTTTCTACCGTGTCTTCTTAAATTATCAGGAAGAACTCCATCTTAGAATGCTAGAATCTTTTGCCTTGAAGCTAAGAAAATCATTTCTTAACCAGAAGATGAGCACACCACGTCTTCAATTGTGAAAATATAAATAAAGAAAAGAACATGAACTTCGATCGCTGAATACGTGGTGGACTAAAAACTTGACTGAAAGCATTGTGGACAACAATATGTATCCATAACAATAAAATGTATCCAAGACAACAATATGTATCCAAGAGAACAAAATGTATCCAAGACAACAAAATGTATCCAAGACAACAATATGTATCCAGGACAACAATATGTATCCAGAACAACAAAATGTATCCATGACAACAATATGTATACTTATTTTTGTAAGATTCAGAATATAAACTACATTTCCATAATTTTCATCCTACTTTTTAGTTTGAATTACTTGTCTTTGATATTCTTCTTTAATAAACAATATATATAAAGATATGTTGCTGTTACTTAAGTGTTTGCTTTAAACACAACATTTATTTGATTTATATTATTTCTCATAGGCTCAGGTCCAAGCTTAAGAACTTATTGCGCAAAAATTAAGGTTTCGATCACCATGTAGAGCACAGCCCAGATAGGCCATTATGTATCTTATCTATATACTTAACACAAACAGTCATTTGTTTTTTTTTCTTTTGTACTATTCAGGAGTAACCGCAGCCTAATAAACGACTTGCTGTACAATTAGGCTTCGGTGAAGGGCCAATCACACAAGTTGTTAGTTTCTAGTTGATTCTATGACAGAAAACCGCACCTCAGTGTAAGCATTAATTATATAGCACAGTTAGACTGTTAAGCCTAAACGGGCTTCCATACCTTTCTTTCTGCATAGAATATCAGTAATTCACTAACTATATTTTACATACTATACTAACCCACCAATTTTGTATATTTTTATTTATCTATTTTATTTTTACAAAATTCTATAAAAAGTTGCTTAAAACTGTTAGAACATTTTTAACATTTCCAATGAGATATGCTTTTCTTGTCATTAAGTTTGTACTTTGGTTATGTCTGTATCATTTTCTTTATTTCTGTTTTCAATCCTAGCTATACTTTACTTTCATATTAAGGACTTTACAGACAGAACGTTTCCATAGGAACCACCAAGTTTTGCAAGTTGAAACAGTTTTATTATACACAATCAGTTATTTTGGTATTATACAACATATAGAGATCATTAAAAATTTATAAACTGTGACACATCGTCATTATACATTCCTATTGTACATGCTGTTCCTTTCTGGAACCATTTATCTTTACTATATAACAAAAATTAACAACGCGAACTTGATATTGTAATGAAATCCACACCCTGCAGATGGTTATTATTACTTTCAAGACAACTTATTGTAGTTACAACTTTGCTACGTCGAATAGGTATTTACATACCATGTTGCTATACATTGTATCACCAGATTCGAAACTGAGAATATGAGGTATACACACCAGTATTATTATCAGTGATAGCCTCCTCCATAACCACCACCATAGCCTCCTCCATAACCTCCGCCATAGCCTCCTCCATAACCTCCTGTGTGCCTACTTGACCCAATAATGGCAAAAATTGGTACATTAACCCCATAGCCTCCTCCATAACCACCTCCGTATCCGCCTCCATATCCACCACTAAGGCCTCCGCCATAACCACCTCCATAACCTCCTCCATATCCACCACTAAGGCCTCCGCCATAACCGCCGTGGGTTCTTACTGTAACATGAGTTGGATAGTTACACAAAATTCCATACAACCCGCCATAACCGTATCCTCCTCCACCGTAGCCTCCATGACCGCCTCCATATCCTCCTCCACCGTAACCTCCATGACCGCCGCCATATCCTCCTCCACCATGACCGCCTCCATATCCTCCACCATAGCCTCCATACCCTCCGCCTAACACAAGACTTGTTGCCGATAAGAGAAGCAGGAGTGTAACACCAGTTTTCTGTAAAAGTAGAAAAGTATCATCATTCCATTTCTAACATTTGGTTCACACAATTAAAGTGTAGACAAACCTCTTTTTTTCGTATACCAGTTGTAAATTATCACATGTGTCGGTAAAAAGAAAACCACGGGGTCTGTACATGTTATTTATCCAATGCAACAAGACTCACAGATCGAGATTAAGATTTTGCGTAATACAAAGCTGTGGCAGACAGGGAACTGAAATGCTCTGTTCTTCCTGTAGTTAGAAAGTACAAGACAGATGTAACAACAATGCTCAGTTCTTCCTGTAGTTAGAAAGTACAAGACAGATGTAACAACAATGCTCAGTTCTTCCTGTAGTTAGAAAGTACAAGACAAAGTATCAACAATACTCAGTTCTTCCTGTAATTAGAAAGTACAAGACAAATGTAACAACAATACTCAGTTCTTCCTGCAGTTAGAAAGTACAAGACAAATGTAACAGCAATGCTCAGTTCTTCCTGCAGTTAGAAAGTACAAGACAAATGTAACAGCAATGCTCAGTTCTTCCTGTAATTAGAAAGTACAAGATAAATGTAACAACAATACTCAGTTCTTCCTGTAGTTAGAAAGTACAAAACAAATGTAACAACAATACTCAGTTCTTCCTGCAGTTAGAAAGTACAAGACAAATGTAACAGCAATGCTCAGTTCTTCCTGTAATTAGAAAGTACAAGATAAATGTAACAACAATACTCAGTTCTCCTGTAGGTAGAAAGTACAAGATAAATGTAACAACAATACTCAGTTCTTCCTGTAGTTAGAAAGTACAAGACAAATGTAACAACAATGCTCAGTTCTTCCTGTAATTAGAAAGTACAAGACAAATGTAACAACAATAACCGTGGCTGATCCTAGTAGCATCAGCTATTTTATTACTATATTGTAGCACACTGAATAATAAACATCATGGATGATCCTAGTAGCATCAGTTATTTTATTACTATATTGTAGCACACTAAATAATAAACATCATGGATGATCCTAGTAGCATCAGTTATTTTATTACTATATTGTAGCACAATAAATAATAAACATCATGGATGATCCTAGTAGCATCTGTTATTTTATTACTATATTGTAGCACACTAAATAATAAATACCGTGGCTGATCCTAGTAGCATCTTATGTATTATCTTTTTTTCTTTTCTTATCGTGTCATTATTGTTGAAAATGTTAGTGTTTCGTTAAATAGGTTTTTGATAAGCTTATCTTTTCGTACGAGGATATTGATGATTTATTTTTCATCAAATGAAGTCGATTTAAGAGCATTGTTGATACATTTGTCTTGTACTTTATACCTACAAGAAGAACTGAGCATTGTTGTTACATTTGTCTTGTACTTTATACCTACAGGAAGAACTGAGTATTGTTGTTACATTTGTCTTGTACTTTCTAACTACAGTAAGAACTGAGTATTGTTGTTACATTTGTCTCGTACTTTCTAACTACAGGAAGAACTGAGGTTTATTATTTAGTGTGCTACAATATAGTAATAAAATAGCTGATGCTACTAGGATCAGCCATGATGTTTATTATTTAGTGTGCTACAAAAAATATCTTGTGAATTCACAAACTTTTTTTCGTACGTAGCATTTCTTTGCTGTACACAAGTATTTAAATACGACATTTGTGTAAGCAGTGGCGAAGAATGGACGACTGAGTGTATGCTGTGTTATGCGCATGCTCTTTAAATACGTGAGCTCAGACAACGTATTGTAGAGCCTAATAATGGCTGGAGACGGCTTGAATGGGTAATGAAGAAAACCTGATGATGACAAAACCTTGTCGAAACGTTGTACATTTGCTGTTATATTAAAGTTTTTCTTCATTACCCATTCAAGCCGTCTCCAGCCATTATTATTCTCAATGTGGGTTCTTCGTCATCGAATTCGAAGTATTGTAGAACCCACATAGCCAAAGTAAGACCTTGGACATGTGAATATATATACGACGTAAGAGCGATGCATTATAGGTATTCTGTCTTTATATTTAAAATAATCACTTAAGTGAAACAACGGTTTAAAGACAATTCTGAATTTAATGTTAGGGTAAATTTTATTATTGAGAATGGATTAAATTTTTTTCTTTAATTTTGTGGAATGATAACCAGTAAATGGTAAAATATAATAGATTATTTCTTTGTTTTCAACTTGTTTACTAATTTTGGGAATGTACAAAGCTTTAAGATAATTCTAAGTAACACTATTAATTAATTGCACGGGAAAACTATTTTTCTTCTTGTAAAACAACCTTTCTGCTTTGTATTTCTCCGTGAAATGAGGAAAAAGAACTAACTATGTTATAAGCCCAATAAATTAAATTATAAATTAAGTTCTTTTTTAAATTTAAAAGGTAAAAACACGATCAAAATGAAAATATTGTCCTGTGAAATTTGGCTGATGATAGCACTTAGTGTTAAACTTCTACCTAAATTATTAATATTGGTATCTAAGAATCTGTAAATCTAATATTGTTATGTTAATCGTTCGGATATGAAAGGTAAACTGTTAGCTGTTTGTTCTTCAACTGTAAATCTAATATTGTTATGTTAATTGTTCAGATATGAAAGGTAAACTGTTAGCTGTTTGTTCTTCAACTGTAAATCTAATATTGTTACTTTAATTGTTCAGATATGAAAGGTAAACTATCAGCTGTTTGTTCTTCAACTGTAAATCTAATATTGTTACTTTAATTGTTCAGATATGAAAGGTAAACTATCAGCTGTTTGTTCTTCAACTAAAGTTGAAGAACAAACAGCTAACAGTTTACCTTTCATATCTGAACAATTAACATAACAATATTAGATTTACAGTTGAAGAACAAACAGCTGATAGTTTACCTTTCATATCTGAACAATTAACATAACAATATTAGATTTACAGTTGAAGAACAAACAGCTAACAGTTTACCTTTCATATCTGAACAATTAACATAACAATATTAGATTTACAGTTGAAGAACAAACAGCTGATAGTTTACCTTTCATATCTGAACAATTAAAATAACAATATTAGATTTACAGTTGAAGAACAAACAGCTGATAGTTTACCTTTCATATCTGAACAATTAACATAACAATATTAGATTTATAAATCTAATATTGTTATTTTAATTGTTCAGATATGAAAGGTAAACTTAGCTGTTTGTTCTTCAACTGTAAATCTAATATTGTTATGTTAATTGTTCAGATATG